ATGCAACTGTAGAAATAAAAATAGATGTCCATTAGATGGAGCTTGTATAGCCGAAGCAATAATCTATAAAGTGGAAGTAATAGATATTAATGGCCAGAATAAATGAATAACAAGTTGTCAATTATCTGGACGTAGAATTAAGTCTTCAAGCTGGCAGTGTCTCCCCATACATGAAACCCAACGCAAAATTAAAATACGTGAATATTAGATCTAACCATCCTGGGAAGATAATAAAGCACATTCATAAAGGAATAGAGTCTAGATTATCCAGAAACTCTTCTAGTAAAATAATTTTTGAGGATAAAATGAAAGAATATGAGATGACCTTAAAGGTTGAAGGTCACAAAACCAGACTAGAATTTAAACCGCAAATTAAACAATTCGAGAAAAATAAAAAAATATCATTTGGTTTAACCTCACTTTTAACTTAGAGGTAAAATGTAAAACCGGGAAATTATTTCTCGTAATCGGAGAAGCATTCTCTGGGGAGTCTCTTCTTGGGAAGAAGCTGTGAGAATAGAACTTCCTTTTTAAAGATCGAATACAAAGGGAATATCGGTTATTCGACTCTGTGTAAGTGGCCTGGTGGGCTTTAGCTGTGAAAATCTGGACTGGTGAGACTAATGCTTATTTTGATAATGAGTATTGCAGAATAAAGTCTGCGAAACTCATTGAGGTGTGTGTGTGGGGGGTGGTGGAGAATGTGAATAACTGGAGCATCTTTTCATAAACGAAAAAACAATAATAGAAGCAAATAGCACACTGCTAACTTGGTGGTGTTAGACACAAGACGCCGTAAAGCCCAAATCTGATATCTCCCTTTCGCACGAAGAAAAACGGAGAGAAAAAGAACACCCCCTCAAAAAAAAATCAGATAAATAAACAAACAACTACTACGTTAAAACGAGCGATTTGCTTTGTTTGATGTCTGTGTTGGAAGCTACCGAAGCTGCAGTGGGCGTTCTTCTGGCAAGGACATCAAATGTAGCGTTATCATTTTCGTCGGGTCTTTCCCTTAAGCGACAATGAATTTCTTGCATACTTTGAGCAAAGATGTTCAGTCAAAGTTCATGGAAAGTGTAAATAATATGGCAGTGGGAGGTTGTATCATCATGTGCATCAAGGATCATCTGACACCGTTTGAAACTTGATTAGATATTATCTTAAAAATTAAAAGCATAATTATCATCTACCATTTCGGAAGACTTCTTTGCTGTTTAGCTTGTCTCAGAAAGAGGAACTCTATCTACTTTCAAGTTCTCTCTCTCTCTCTATATATATTTATCTATCTATAGGATTGGTGTAGACGCAATAAAATTCCAATAACCAAAAGCACTATTCTTAAAAGAGTGCTCAAAACAAAGTAGAGCAAATATTATTTTTCAAAAATTATAACATAAACATGTTATAACATCACTACAAAAATAGCCATTTTGTTTCAACACTTCTGGTGTCTTATCAAGTGATGGTGTTGATTCACTTCTATATTATAATTTTTTTATCTATGTTATAATTTTTGAATATATATGTATATATATATATATTAGATAGATAAATAGATGTGCACAGACTGAGATACATAGATACATCTCTCTATATGGATATATATGAAAACACACACACACACACACACACACATATATATATATATATAAAGATAGATACATCTCTATATATATGATAGATATGAAAACACGGAGATAGATATATAAGCTAGATAGCTAAATATATAGGTTTGAAGTAGATAGGTGTGGAAACCTGAGGATATATATATATATATATATATATATATATATATATATATATATACAGTGACACGCATAAGTATTGGATACATGTTATTTTCTGTAATAACTCTAGTTTATGTTCGCCATTTTGCCTGATATTTGGTAAGTAATATCTCGTAAAGTTGTTTTAGTTGTATGTGGAAGGAAAATTAAAAACTCATGGTTGAACCCATTTTTTTTATTCAAAATTACCCTGTGCAAAAGTATTGGATACATCAATTTAATATTTTGTTGCGTAGCCTCTGTTTTGTTTCACTGCTTCCAGTCACTTTCTATAGTTGGCCACAAGTTTTCCACATTGATCCACCATTCCTTTACCCCATTCTTCCTTGCATAATTCCTCTAATTGCTTGATATTTTGTGGATTCCGCTTATGAACTTTAACCTTCAAAGTATTCCACAAATTCTCAATTGGATTCAAGTCAGGAGACTGACATGGCCAATTGAGAGTACTAATACCATTATTTTCAAACCATTCCTTTGTAAGTTTTGCGGTATGTTTGAGATCATTGTCGTGTTGAAGCACAAAATTCCGACCATGTCCTAAGGAAGTTGCAGATTTCTGAAGGTTCTTCTCTAGAATCTCCCTGTATATGCTACCATTCATTCTACCATGGATAACTTGTAACTCACCAGTGCCCTTGAATGAAAAGCATCCCCATATCATAATGGAAGCACCCCCAAACTTAACTGTGGGGATGGTATTGTGCTTGTTGAAGGCAGTGCCATTTTTTCGCCAAACACTTGTCGCTGTGTTCCTTCCGAATAGTTCAACTTTCGTTTCATCCGACCAGATTAGCTTTTCCCAAAACTGCATAACTTTCTTTTCATAGGTTTCGACAAACTTTAATCGGTCTTTGACATGTTTGGTTTTCAGTAAAGGCATTTTTCTTGGTGATCTTTAATGAAAGCCTGTAAGATATAAAGCTCTGCTAATGGTATCCTTACTTCCATTAATTCCAGCACCCTCAAGATCAGTTTTAATTTCGGAACGAGTAATGAACGGTTTTTTGCACATTTCTGCTGATCCACCTTGAAGTACTCTCATCTATGTTTCTCGGTCTTCCATTTCTTGGAAGGTTTGCTGTATCGTCGACATACTTCTTATACTTTCTGATGATATTTCCTAAGGTACTTAGTGCTAGATTCATTTCTTTGCTAAGTTTTCGATAACCTTGTCCTCCTTTGTGACGTTCAGTGATTCTGTCTCGCATATCTCTGGATAATTCTTTAGTTTTTGCCATTTTTAATCCTTGAATTGCAGAATGCACATCAAAGAGTCAGATGATTAGTAGCACTATCTTGTAAACAATTGTGTGCTTCTCTGATTGGTCAAAGATAACATTCTAATACTATCGTAAATTTGAATATTTAAAGTGTTTTAAAATACTAAGTTTCGATTGGAAATTTGAAAACAGTGTCATGTATCCAATACTTTTGTATAGGGTAATTCTGAACTTTGATAAAAAAATGGATTCAACCATGAGTTTTCAATTTTCCTTCCACATACAACTAAAACAACTTTACGAGATATTACTTACCAAATATCAGGCAAAATGGCGAACATAAACTAGAATTATAACAGAAAATAACATGTATCCAATACTTATGCGTGTCACTATATATATATATATATATATATATATATATATATATATATATATATATATATAGAGAGAGAGAGAGAGAGAGATAGATAGATAGATAGATAGATAGATAGATAGATAGATGCGAACAGATTGGTGTGAAAAAACTTTGGTTCTTCGGATCCGGAAATGTCATAATCGCTAATTTCTCCTTCCTGGCAGAGGTTGCAAACAGTGTTGTGATTATTAACAAATCTTAGGTACTCTACCAAACTAGCTAACCATGTGTGGAACTAAAAAAAACCGCAAAAAACAAAAACAAAAACAGCAGGGATCCGTTTGTAAGGCTGAAAAAAAAAAAAATCCAAGGCCTTACAACAATCACAACAATATTTGCAACCTCTGCCAACAGGAAAAATTAGCGATTATGACATTTCCGGATCGAAAGAAACTTTTAAATCAGAAATACGAAGTCTTAAGTCCTTGCTTACATAGAAATTTTTTTAAGTGCATATAAGGCTGGATAAAAAATGTAATTTTATCCCCACCAATACATTTACAATACACTTGCAGCTGCTTCCTCTTCTTCTTCTTCTTCTTCTTCTTCTTCTTCTTCTTCTTCTTCTTCTTCTACTTCTCATCCTCCTCCTCCCTTTCAATTACACCCAACGTCGAGCGTTTGTTTATTTATTTTTTGAAAATAACAATGTAGCGTTCTTTAGCTTTTTTTTTAAGAATAAAAAAAAAATTGCCTGAGGATACCGTAAGGTTGAAACCAAGGTAGCGGATCCAACTGATCTCCTGATTTTTATAGGTAAAAGCACTACAAGAGAGAGAGAGAGAGAGAGAGAGAGAGAGAGAGAGAGAGAGAGAGAGAGAGAGAGAGACAGATAGAGAGGATTGAGATAGAATAGATGAGATAGATAGATCAGATAGATAAGATAGACTGAGATAGATAGATAGATAGATAGATAGATAGAGAGAGAGAGAGAGAGAGAGAGAGAGATGGATGGATTTGGATAGATAGTTTGATAGACAGGGACAGATTGGGATAGATAGGCATAGAGGATTGAGATTGTTATGAACAGACTGAGATAGATAGATAGATAGATAGATAGATAGATAGATAGATAGATAAGGATCAGACTGAGATAGACTGATAGTAAGATATAATAGACATTTTGCAATACACACGTCTTATTGATATAGCGGCTCAGATCTTTGGTTGATTAAAAAAAAAGGATGATTGATAATGAGTTCAAAATATGGCAATATTAAATTAAGCAATACGAAAAGTGACATTTCCGGCCAGTCAAGGAATTTCTGCCGTTTTTTATTACCTTGGAGAATCTCCAGAAGTTTCGAATACATCAGCGATAACCTGAAAATAAAAATGTTAAAAAATACCCCCCCAGAAAAAAAAAGTAATATATAAAAAAAACCTATAGAGTTAGTAAGTAAACAAAAGCTAATATAAAACCAGAGTCAATGTTAATTGCTTGCAACACGCACCCCCCCCCACACACACACAGACACTTGTCACTGAAGAATGAGATTTGCAGGGCGTTTACTGTAGAAAAAAGTATACTTGCTTTGTGCATGCGTGAGGAAGTTTGATGAAGCTGAGATGAATTTTACATATGTCCGTACATTTGCATGTTTAGTAAATCTATCTATCTATCTATCTATCTATCTATCTATCTATCCCAGGTTATCAACATTTATCTATTATATCTATCTATTATCTATCAAAAGTCTCAGTCTCAGTCTGTTCATATCTATCTATCTATCTATCTATCTATCTATCTATCTATCTATCTATCTATCTCCCTTTGTATCTATCTATCATCTCAGTCTGGTCAAATCATCATTATCTATCTATCTATCTATCTATCTATCTATCTATCTATCAAAATTTATGTTATATCTATCTATTTCATATCTATCTATCTATCTATCTATCTATCTATCTATCACAGTCTACATTATTTATCTTCTATCTCAATCTATCTCATCATCAATCTATCTATTATCTGTCTCAATCTATCTATCTATCTATCAAAATTTATGTTATATCTTACTGTCAGTCTATCTCAGTCTGTTCATATCTATCTATCTATCTATCTATCTATCTATCTATCTATCTATCTATCTATCTATCTATCTATCTATCACATCTATCTCATTATCTATCTATCAAAATTTCTGTTATATCTATCTATCACAGTCTATCATAATGTCTTTGTTCAATCTATCTATCTATCTATCTATCTATCTATCAAAATTTATCTATCTATCTATCTGTTCATCAGTCTATCTATCATTATTTATCTATCTATCTATCAAAATTTATGTTATATTCTGTCAGTCTAATCTGTCTGTTCATATCTATCTATCTATCTATCTATCTATCTATCTATCTATCTATCTAATCAGCCTGCGGGCATCGTAGATTTTGTAATAGGTAACCAATAGGAGTACGTGAACTTTGTTATAACTTGAAATGAGAGATTTCATTCTAAATAGTGAAATTATCACAACACGCATTATTTCATTTTCTTATTTGATTTGGTGGTATCTTAAGTACTATTTGGGTATTAATTGCAGGAGATTAAGTTTATAATGAAATTTTTATACATTATTGTTTGAATTTGTATGCATATGCCTGCATTCATACATTTACGCACACCCATACACCCATGCATATACGTATATTATGACTGGCTGCTGGTTTTCGAGTCTCCTCATCTGCTGAGATGGAGAGCTAGCTTCTATTGCAGACGCCTGCTCAAGGATATTTATCTTACTGTCTGAGCAGACCTTAGTTACAGTTTCCGACAAAAGCATATAACTAGATGTGATCAGTACTTGTGCTGTATGCTCAAGTCCTCGTTTACTATGACTTACCATTTCGTGAAATAAACTGATTACCCTGCAAGAAACCTGTCCTTTCTATTGTTCAAGACCTTATGTATCGTGAAAACTTTCTCGTCGGAATTATTTGAGAACTTTCTTGCACGTTTTCAGTCTCCCAGGGTTCATAATGTAGGATTTAAGATCCAAGTCAGTAGACACGCCCATTCCGAGTTCTTACGCATGGGTGTTGGTTTCTTTCCACTTTGGGGTCTAGATGGCGTTAATGGAACTTCGATCCTTTTCTTTTTGACCCCGTCTCTAAATACTTTCGTTCACGATTTTGACATTGACATTGACATTGACACTCGTATGTTGTATAGCAGCCCCTCGTGCTGGGGGGGGGGGTCTTGGCGATGGCGTCAATTCGATGATAATTCGGTGATCACTAGTTGTTTTGAGTCCAGAAATAAAATAACTTCAACACAGGTAATTTTAAGTTAACTATTTTATTAACGTTCATGTCGACATGTTCTATCTATCCAGTGGGGGTCGTTTCCCCCTCCACTGGGAAGCCGTTTCAGACACGAAAAAAAAAACACGTCTATATTGTTTGACAGTTCAGAAACAACTCACTGATAAATCTTTCTATATCTCTATCATTCCCACGCTCGTTCAGCCAATGGAAATCGACTTCCTTATTTTGTCTTCCATCTGACCTATCTAAGGAGATCCGAGCAGAGATACACTTCCTATAAAAAATAATAATCTACTAAAATATTATTCAACACGTACACAAGGGCACACCAACAATGCCGTGGATGCTTTAATGATTGATTTGTGCTGGGAAAAAAGGCTTTGCTGATGATTCTTCCATGAAACCGTTTTCCACGGCGTGCATTAATTAGTTGGCTGAGACTGGTTCAGATAAATATAAGCACCTAAGACGTTGCGGCGTAATGTGCAATAATGTTCAGTTCACAAGGCACTTTAGAATCCCTAGTTTCCGCATGGCGTATACCGGCTGGTTTAGCAGCCGTTATCTAACTATAGTTTTTTGTCACAGAATTCATGAACTATAATTAAGTGCATGGTCTACCATAGATATATCAATCAACATCCCGATTCATCATGTCACGAAAAGATACTATACCTAAAAAAAACTTGGCTGAAAGAGAACTTATACATACACTCATTAAAAGTTGATTTATAAGAGAGAGATAAAAAGAACAAACTCACGCCTCTCATAAACAAAACACACTTTTTGACGCATTCATTCAGGTTCGTGATGGTCGATAAATAATATGTAGCGATAAATATTATTTTTGTGTGGCAAAAGTTTTTCACTCCATTTTCAATAGGCGTGAAATAGAAAATGTCTGAAGTCATGAAAGTATGAGAAAGATCAAAAAGTCTAAACGGAACGCTAGGCTGCCGCCGGAATTTACGTTCCCCAGATGAAGCCCTGCTGTCACACTTTGGCCACGGTTGAAACTGAAGCTTAGATCCGGCGACCGAACCTGCTTAAACAGAAAGGTCGTTAATTAAATATATGTTCGTGCAAATATATCTATAAACATATTCTTGTTCATGTGAGCGCAAGATAGATATTTTTTATAGTAAAGTTCACGCACGAGAAGGCTTTAGAGCCGCTCAAGGTATAGGCGTATGAGGCATGTAGTACGGAGAAGGTTGTTGAAAGTGAAGATTATGCGGATAGGGAGGATAGATAACGATTGACCCTTAATTTAAAGAGGTTAATATTGTAGTGTGGTGGCTTACTGTTAACATTTTACTGATGAATTAGGTGGGTGGGAATCGTTTTGACAGAGGGCGGTAAGTACGACATTGAGATCCGTAGACGTATTAGGATTGCCAAGGACGCATTCCAAAAGCTGGGCAGAGTAATGCGAGACAGGAGGATTTCTTTGGTAACAAAGGTAAGAATACTGAGCTGTTACGTGACATCTCTCCTTCTTTACGGCAGCGAATGGTGGACGATTTCCTCAAAGATGAAGAAGAGACTCGAGACGACGGAGATGTGGTTCTACATAAGTATGCTAAGGATATTATGAACCGAGCTTATGAGCAGCGATAAAGTCTTAGAGAGGATGCAAACAAGGAGGCGGCTTATACTTAACACCAGGAAGAGGCAGCTGAAGTTTCTGGGACATATAATGAGGAAGAAGGGCCTGGAGAATCTGATACTCACAGGTCGAATCGAGGGAAAGAGAGACAAAGGAAAACAACGCGTGACATACCTGGCGGAGTTAAGCAAATGGATGACAGAATGTGGTCTGAGGGAGGAAGCAGAAGAAAGGAATTTGTTGAGAGCTGCAAGGGATAGAGGAAGAGGTGGAGAGCCATGATCACGTACGTCTTGAAAGAACATGACACATAAAAAGAAAGAAGATATGAAAGATTATGGGGATAAGGGGGATAGATAGGGATTGACGTTTGACTTGAAGAGTTTAGGATTGTAGTGTAGTGCAGTGTATTAACACGATTATGATAAATGACGTGTGTGATTTGAATGTGAGAGGAGGTGGTACGAACTGAAGATTATGAGAATGAGGAACATAATTAATAATTTAACCTTCAGTTGATGAGGTAAATATTATAGTGTTCAGAAAAGCATCTACGCGGGATCCTGTTCTACAAAGCAACATTACTCGATAAAAGACAGTACTTTCTCTTCACAACTGGAATAACGAAAGAAATGCGGATGATTCAATTCGCTAGAAATAGCAAGTCATGTCCGAGCTGTAAAGATCTGAAGTCGTCGAACTAATTCAGCTTAACCAAACATTTTCCATTGAAGAGGCGATAAAGTAGCAACTGCTTTGAGACTTTGTATCGGGGACAAAGTCGCAGTTGAGGGGAAAATATATTTTCCCTCACAAAACCGAGTAAAAGATTTTTTAAAACTCTATCAAGGCTGGAAAAGGGAACATTGAGCAGCTCTAGCACAGATATGATATGAAAACATTATTTTAGTCTAACCTGACTAGTGTAAATATAAAGCATACCAGAAGAATCATGTATTTTCGGGAATGATAGAACGAGACAGCCATTTTTCAAGCATCTTTAACAATGGATAGTATATATAAACCGCCTCGGCTTGAGATCTGGAATCCAAATAGACGTTCGAAGGTTGGAACCACGTTAAGACTGCCGATGTTCACCGTGACTGGAGAAAACTTTGATCGGTGATGATAAAACGATACTAGCTTAGATTTTTCACCATTGTGTTGTCATAGTTAGATCACAGCAGAAATCGGCTTCAAGGCACCGTTCATTTTGATTTTTTGGAAGTGCTTTAATAAGCTGTGCTATTATCTGCATCGATGTTTGCTAATGCTCTGAGAATGTTCATGGGTAGATGGTTAATAAATAAAAGCAGAACGTGATTAAAATTGACGTGGGTGTTCATTAACGATTTGTCCTGGATAGAGAGACCTCAAAATTGGCACGCTAAATCCCTTTTTCTACATAGCTTTCACCCAGAGTTACACGCGTCTCTCATGGTTTAATGCACTTGTGGATATCTTTCTTTCAAAATTCCGCAGGTTGGGAATGGAGCCAGGATTGGGGGTTATTAATCAAGGTGTTGTCATTTTGGCAACGTCTGTCTTTCAATATAAATTCATGTAGGGAAGAAGAGGAAAGTAAAGGCGCCAAGAGAATGAGGGATGATAAAGCTGGATTTAGTAGCTACAATAACGTAATTTTATCTGCATAATATAGGAATTGTCTCCTTGCAAATACAGGGAAATCTGAAGAACATACAGCGTCTATCGATTTTAATGATTTTCTTTAATTTTTTTCAGCAATAAGGCAAATCCATAATCACTGCATACTTTTAGTTACAGAAGTCTGCGAGCATCACCTTTGAAAGTTACGGCTTAATAGTGCTGTTCTGATAACAATATTGGTAATAAGATTGATAATATTTATTATATATTAGTCTTTTGACTAAACTGAAGCACGAAGAAATAAACAAAGAAGTGGGAGTCACTCTTCCAGAGAATGTTGGTTAGAGGACTCACCGTGGAAACTATATTCTCTGAGTAGACCCAAATCCCTGTTTAGTTCTTTTAATATGTGATTCTATTTTAAAAATGTGTTTAACTCTGATCTGCGTTTTCTTTCTTATCTGCTCTTAAATGAAGATGCTAAAAACACACATCTGATATCATCATTGCTAAAGTCTAAATTTGGGTGATTATTTTAGCTTCCTTACTGATATGTTCTGTTGTTTTTGTATGTTTTAATTATATTGTCCTTGACTAATTTGTTGTGTTTAGCGGGGTTTATTTCGTATAAATTTCTAGTTACTTTTTTCCACTGCAAGAAATACTTCAGTTGAATTGTTTATTTTAGTTATATCTTCTTTTAGATTATTTTGGAAGGGATCTTGTTTATGGAATTTTATGTTTCTTACTAAATTAATCAAATCTTTGTCGATGTCTTCTATTTCTTTGTGTTGCGGGGACATCTTTTTGTTTTAAAGGCGTATTTTTCTTGGTTTAAAAAGTTGATAACGTAGAAAAATATACGTAGGAGTAACTGAAGGACATTGGGAACAAAGAAAATGCG